GGACTACAGGCGCCCGCCACCTCGCCTGGCTAGTTTTTTGTGTTTTTAGTAGAGACGGGGTTTCACCGTATTAGCCAGGATGGTCTCGATTTCCTGACCTCGTGATCCGCCCGTCTCGGCCTCCCAAAGTGCTGGGATTACAGGCTTGAGCCACCGCGTCCGGCCTCTATTTATTTATTATTTATTTTATTATTATTATTATTTTTTGAGACGGAGTCTCACTCTGTCACCCAGGCTGGAGTGCAATGGCTTGACCTTGGCTCCCTGCAACCTCTGCGTCCCGGGTTCAAGCAATTCTCCCGCCTCTGCTTCCCAAGTAGCTGGAATTTACAGGCAGGCGCCACCACGCCCAGCTAATTTTTGTATTTTTAGTAGAGACGAGGTTTTGCCATAATGGTCAGGCTGGTCTCGAACTCCTGACCTCATGATCTGCCCCCCTCAGCTTCTCAAAGTGCTGGGATTACAGGCGTGAGCCACTGCGCCCGGCCTCTTGCCTACTTTCTACTCGAGTCCAGAAGTCTAGACATATCATCCCGTGTCTCCTCTAGAACTTTCCACCTAGAAGGAACCTGGGACAAGACCCTCTCAGGAGGAGTCAGTGGGATCGAAATTGGATGGAGAGTGACAAGTTTGGGTTGTGTGTTTGAATATGTGAACGGACTCTTGAAATATTCCTTGACCACCTCCCTCAATCTTTCCATGCCTTCCCTAGGTAGAGAAGCCAGACGGTGTCGTACCACCTACAGCACCTCTCAATTACACACTCTCATCAAGGCGTTTGTGAAAAACCCATACCCTGGGATTGACTCCAGAGAAGAACTTGCTAAAGAAATCGGTGTTCCAGAGTCAAGAGTCCAAGTGAGTGATAAGCGTGGCTGTCCCATCTCCTAGGGATATAGGTATACAGGAAGGGAAGCCGCATGGGCCTCAGGCAGTTCCTCATCATGCGGGGCACAGTTCAGGGTCTTTCACAGCTGGCTGTTCCCTGTCTGCTGGCTTCTACCCCCAGGTGCCCACAGGACTCAATCTCACATCCCCTTCTGGTATTTTCTGTCTGTCCTGAGCCATGTTGCATTCCTTGGGCCCCGAACAGTGCACGGCACGTGACACTCAGTGAGAATTTGTTGAGTTAGTGAATATTAGTTAACATGGCATATAAACCAGGCATTTGGCTAAAGCCTTTTTTTTTTTTTTTTTTTTCCCACGAGATGGGTACTCACCCTATTACCCAGGCTGGAGTGCATGGCGACATCTTTGGCCTCACTGCGTGCCTAGACCTCCTGGGTTCAGAGGTGGTTTTGTGTGCTCGGCTGCCTGGAGGTAGCTAGGGGATTACGAAGTGTGTGTCACCACGCCCCGGGCTAATAATTTTTTGTATTTTTAGTAAGAGACAGGGTTTCGCCAAAGTTGCCCAGCTTGATCTTGAACCTCCTGGCCTCACGGTGATCACCCTCCTTGGCTGCCGAAAAGTGGCTCGGGATTTAAGCGAGGGTTGAGCCACCGTGCCCTGCTTATTTGACTAAAGTCTTTATGTCTACCGTATCCTTCAGATCTTCTAAGTATGCCCTGAGGTTAGAATTATGAGGGTCCAGCTGGGCGCGCGGATCAGCATTGGTAATCCCTAGCACTTTTTGAGCTGGATGGCAATACCTAGTCGAAGCACAGCGCTGGCCCAACATGGTCGCAAACCGGGCGTGCTCTAGGACAATACACAAAATCTAGGCGGCTGGGTGGGTGGCCGACGCCTGTAGGTCAGCTACTTGGCAGGCCTGAGGGAGGAAATCCTGAAACCTGGAATTGCAGTGGTTAGAGATTGCGCCACGCACTCCAAGCCTGGGCAAACCAGAAGGCAAGACTCCGTCTTGGAAAAAAAAAAAATTATTGAGGTCCACTATTAGGACATTTAATCATTTAGCCTCAGGAGAGGTGAAATGTACCAGTCGCTGTGCTGAGGAATTCATTCCTGACACATCTTAAAAACGGAATAAAATTGTCAGACTGCTGTTGTATGGGTGTGGTGCGTTTAAATCAGTGTCCTGCCTTGCCTTGTAAACAGAACATGAATGCACATTAGTGGTTCTTGATGGTTCTTTCCTTTTACCTCGCCCGCATTTATTTCATTTTTGCTTCATCGTCCTTTCATTTTGCATTTATTTGGAGCATCTACTATGGTGCTAGGTACGTGTACTAGGTACGTGATTGCTATGGTTTGAATGTTATGTCTCCTCCAAAACCAATGTTCGAAACTTAACTGCCCAGTTGGTAACTACTATTAAGAGTTGTGGCCGGGGGCACAGTGGCCGGCTCCTGGTCGTGGCTCACACCTGTGAATCACTCCAGCATTTGGACCGACCTGATCGACCTAGCTCAGTTCGAATCAGCGCTGACCCAACAGTGGAGAAGACCTCTCTACAAAAATACAAACAATACACCAGCCTAATCCCACACCAGGCTGACAAGAATGTGCTTGAACGTTGGAGTGATCAGCCGAGACACCCGAGCCTGGACCAAGAGGCCGGTGAACCAAAACCCCAAAAAAAAAAAAAAAACAACGAGATATTAATACTATAAACACAGTATATATAAAAAACTAGTATATGAATAAATATATATCATATAATATGTCGATACGTATATATATAAAATTAATATATCAATGATATAATGTATATCTTGGGTTGCTACAGTGCAAGTGTGGGCCCCTTAGTCCCCACTGAGACTTGAAGAGCCCAAAACCGATCACCTACCAGCACCTTTCTGCTACAAAATTTAAAAATTAGCCTAGTAGTGGATGATTACACACCTGTAGCCCGCTGTACTCTGAGGAGAGACGCTGTCTCAAAAAAAAAAAAAAAAAAGAAAGAAAAAGAAAAAGAGAAGAAAGCAATCATGAGTTTTACACAACATCCTTGTTTAATTAAGTCTTCTTTGTCTTACCCACTTTAGATTGTGGTTCCAAAATCGAAGATTAGATTACTCTCTCCAGATGAAGAAAGGGGAACCGTGGTTCCTTAAACAAAAGAGCAGAACAAGATTCCTGAGGACTGCAAGGTAACAGTCTGTTTGTTGCAATGTGCACCAAGCAGAGCCCTTGGATTGTCCAGTGGCTTCGTCGCTGGTGGACGGCGACAGCTGCTCGCTGGAGGTGGAGGATTATTCCCACCCAAGTGCTCCATGGGTACCGTGGG